TATCTCAGTGAGGCAGCTGTCTTTCTCCCAGGGTACACTGTGAATGCTGGCCAATCACCCTCCTTCAGTCTCCGCTGATAAAATGCAGCAGAAGGAAAAAAAATCCACTTTAAAACATGAGAACAGATTAAAGTCCAGTAGGAGCAGCCAGGTCACAGAGATACCGAGTCAGTGTGGATGTCATCATTACTGACCAGAGCAGGTGATGTGCCGACGTTCAGCCGAGTGTACCGACATTCAGCCAAATCAGCTGGATACATACACACAGATATGGATGGGGGCTGACTTTTCCTTCTTCTTTTCTTTTCCCTTTGTCCTGTGTCTTCTCTTTGTGTCTCTGTCTGCTGTGATGTGTCCTGACGGTAGATCCCTTCGTACCGACGCCATTCTGGTGAGACACTTTTCCTTTCTTTCCTCCTGTAGGACAAAAAAAACCCAACAACCTGCACAGGTAGACAGACAGGAAGTAGATAGACAGACAGGGAGTGGACAGACAGGTGAGACAGAGAAGACAGGTGAAAGGATGGAGGAGGATGGAGAGAATGAGAAAGAGAGAGTGATATTTTGGCTTCCATCCATCCCTGCTTGCTTCTTGTTCGGCTGCTTTTAGTTCTTCTGTTTTTTTATGTTCAAAATATTTAAAAGTATTTTGTTTAAAGTTTTATTTTTATTCTCCAAATCCTCCATCTTTAATTAATATATTGATTTAATTTTAATAATAATTCTATATTGATTAGCCCTTAAAGAGATTTTGCTTTAAGTTTTCCTTTCTGATAAATTTGTTTTTCCAATTTTATTATTGAATTTTAGTTTTTTAAACAATTTTGTAATTTATTTTTTATTTCAAAATAAATATAATTTTTAGTATGTTTTAAAGTGTTTTTATTATTTTTTAACATTATTTATTTTTTTTTTTATTTTTTTAAACAACGGTGGGCTTCACTCCATCCCCACATCCACAACATTCCTGCGTGTCGTGTTGACGTCACGTCTGTCTGTGACCTCCAACCTCTGCATGGACACAACACGCCCACGTGGACTGGGGGAGGAAAACAAACTAACCATTTAAAACCAGAGTCAGTCAGAGGGCCTGCTAGCAGCTTCTTTTACACTCTGGACGTCTTGGTTGTGATTCTTGGATGTTGCAGACGTTTGTTGATTTTAAGATTATTTTATTTAACACAAAATGAGCAGGAAGCTAAGCTAAGTCAAACAAACAAATCAAGAATGCTGTGCTAAGCCAGCTTAACCTCCCGTGTCTGTTCCAAATATCGTACCTTTAATCACAAACAGAAGAAGAACAGGACACAGCTGAAAAGGTGTTGACAACTAAAACCAAAGATCTGCATAGTCTCTGGTTCATTCGTCTGTATTTTATTTTATAGGATTTCATATGAATATCCCCCAAAGCAGGCCTGTAAATAAAGATTATTAAATTTTTATTAATCAATAACATGAAGTCAAAGTAGATGTCAAATGTGAGGGATTTAGAAACAGTGTCATATCTTGGTCACAATTTTTAAAGATCCCTAAATCATATGGTTAAAAAAAAACATTAAACTGTGACAGCAAATGTAATGCGCCTTAATTATGTTTTTTAAATCAAAGTTAGGAACACTGAACATATTATTGGACCCAAACCCAGAAATACTGGTGAATAAACCAACACAGCTGGGATGCAAGGAACTAAACATCAGTCAAGTCCGAAACTTAAGACCAAACAAATCCACAGTAAGAGACAGGCAGGACTCAATTCAGACTCAAACAGAAATAACACAGTAATCCAAAAAGAAAGACAGACGGTCCTACAAAACCAGGAAGGAAACACGGACTATATATACCAACTCAAGCAGGCAGGCTGATTAATACAGGTGAGACAGATCAGGTAAGCAACAGGGAAGACACAGGCAGGAACAAGGACTGGTAACTTCAAAACAAAACAGGAAACAAAACCCCAAAACTGTGACAGAGGTTGACTTTAATAACATTGAAGGGATCATGTTTCCTGAAGCCTAACCAAAGTGTTTATCTAAATCGACAACAGGTGAAAAAACTAACAAACAAATTAATTTCTAATAAACAGGGTTACAAAAATAATGAGACTGATCTAGACGATATATAAACTCTGAAATAAATCAAGAACAGACTGCTGATCTGTGTTTTGCTCGTGGAAAGTGAACCAAAATCGGATGCTAACTGCTGCGCTACATGTGCTGCTAGGCTAGTTTAATGTCCAAGTGAAGGAACGTTGAAGCAAACTGTTGCTTAGGTTCCTGTTTGTCCTCTCTCCTAGCTGATCTGTCTTCAGGCCGGGGGTTGGGACGTTAGCTGAGGAGTCCTACGTTTAGGGTCCAGTTAGCCAGGTTAGCCGGGTTAGCTAGGTTAGCCTAGGCGGTTGCTGCTAGTTGACAAGTTCACATAGACAGTGCTAGTTGCTGTTTGTTATTCATGCTAGCTGTGTGTTAGCAGTAGCAGGCTAAAGCTAAAGTTGTTGCTTATACCCTGTCTCCTCTCTCTTCTTCTTCTCTTCTATCTTTCTCTGTGTAAAGTGCCCATTAATGGTAAGTGGTTAAATTTGGGGATAAGGGGCGGGACTCATGTTGGGGGGGTGTCTGTCACCACTGCGCATGGAGCCGCACCCACCACCCGCTGTTGTCATCAATTAGCCTCATTTTAACCCCCATGTGAAATTGTGACATCACTTTCCCCAACTCCTCCCACCATTTCACCTCGAACCAATCAGTTTTCAGCTCTGCCCATCTCTCTTTTTTCTGATTGGTTGCTGTTGTCATTGTTGTGGTTGTCTCACCCGTCCTCCACAAACCGCCACCTCCATCAAATTGCCCATCTCCTCGCCCTCGCCTTGATTGGTTGGGCTGTTTGGGATAGAGAGTTTCAGATTGGTCAGTCAGCCTCCAGGCTAGCCAATAAGAGCAGAGTTAGAAAGTGTAGTGGAAGGTTTGTCCATCGAGTCTTTGTTGAAATGTTCACGTCAGAGTCCTGGATGTCCCTGGGTCATATGTCAGTAAACGGTTCACCAGAGAGGTTTGTTTTGTTCCAGGACTCTGAACTCTGCTCTCTCCACACTGCAGCTCCGAGAACCTGGACCACATCTGGACCAGTACTGGGACCAGTACCAGTACTGAGATCATGCTGTACTGGGTCTAGACCAGTACTGGGACCAGTGTCAGTACTGAGACCATGCTGTGCTGGGTCTGGACCAGTAATGGGTCCAGGACCTGTACTGGGTCTGGACCAGCAACTGATTCATATAATAGATTGGTTTGATTGGAAGTCCTTTTGTTGGATCAGATTATTGATCCGTGATTGATAGCTGCGGCGGCAGTGTGAAAAGAAACCAGCACCAATCACCATCCTCTCTCCAGTCATGTGATCTGATGCACTAGGGTTGTTGTGGTAACAACACATCTGAAGCTGTAATACCCTTTTGTCTCTTTACTTCCTGTCTACACAGGAAGTGGGACGTTGTTGTGCAGATGTTGTAATATTGTTTATAGATTTTACATTAAATTACATATTTTAAAGGTTTTTTATGTTTTAAATCAGCTTTCAGACCAGCAAACAAGATCAGGTTCATTGATCATGAGAGCTGCTGGCTTGCTAATCCTAACCCAAAGGTTTATCAATCATCAATCATATTTTAAGATGATCAATTAAAAGCTAAAGAGATCCAGATAAAAGACCTAAATCCCAGTTTGAGTTATTTATTTATTATTTTTAACTCCCGCTGCTTTTAAATGTTGAAAGATTCGAGGGATTCGAATACAGTAAGCAGATTTACTCCTGCATGCGGATACAGCTAAAAAAAAACAGCCCTACTTTCTACAGGTTACAACAGGTAACAGCAGCCATGTTGGGAACTCGGATCAGGACTTTTCAAACTGCCCAAAGAGTCCAACCTACCAGAAATCAGAGGCGACTGCTCTGGGAATTCGTCTCGAACATGAGGCGACAGATAATCTGGTGGAAGTTTGGTCTGATTCTGAATTAAGTCTGGGACCAACAACACAGAGCTAAAACCAGGCTTCGTCTGTACAGTGTCGGCCCAAGGTGTCTGAAGATGTCTGTGCAGGTTCTCTGTCATCCAGGTCATAGTTATCCAAGGAAAGGGCAGCTGGACTTGGTTAAAGATACTTGAGGACGTTTTGTCTCTCATCCAAGAGTCTTCTTCAGTTCGCCAGAACCTTTGTCAGAACTTTAGTCTCTCGTCCAAACGACGAAACGTCTTCCAGTATCTTCAGCCAAGTCCAGCTGCCCTTGATTTTAACCTTTACTTGGACAAATAACTGAAGACTTTTTTTTTCTATAAATGTACCTAAACGAAAGGAGACAAAAGTGAATTCCCGTCGAGTCCATGCCATCCAACATGAACATCATATCTGCATCACACGGTTCTGACTGTCTGTCTGTCCAGCGGTCCTCTGGCTACAGCCTCAGTCTGACCTGTTTGTCATATTCTGTTCCTCCTCCAGACGACAGTCACACTATGACCAGTGAAACCAGCAGCCTGGTCCAGTCCCACTACAAGCAGAGGGAGTCGGAGCGCGAGGCGCTGCCCTATCAGACGGGTCAGCTGCATCCGGCCATCCGAGTGGCCGACCTGCTGCAGCACATCACCCAGATGAAATGCGCCGAAGGTTACGGCTTCAAGGAGGAGTACGAGGTGAGGAGGATGCACACAAACTCACTCAGTTATTTATGGCTGGAAACAGCACATAGACTAGTTTCCTGGAGTCGAGGGTAGCGTACCCAGAACGACACACAGGATGAAGACCTCTTTCATTAAGGGAAGGCGTTCATGTTTTCATACTTATGTTAAAGGTTCAGTGTGTAAGTGTTAGTGGTGGGGTGGTGATGGTGCAACGGATAGGACAAATGCCTTTGGTGTGATAGACCCGGGTTCAATTCCCCACTGTGACCCAACCACCATTATGTTGACAATGACACCCCTCGTTGCTCCAGAGGCGTGCGACCTCTGACACATATAGCAACTGTAAGTCGCTTTGGATAAAAGTGTCAGCTAAATGAATAAAAGTAAATGTAAATGTAGTGACATCTAGTGGTGACGGTTGGGAATTGCAACCAGCGGCTCACGGTGCATTCAGGTGCTCCTCGGATGGTCCCATTCCCTGAGTTGTGAAGTCATTCTTCTGACTTCAGTGTGTGTTCATGTGCTCTTAAGTCTGAATGTGGAATCAACATGGACGCCGCTGCAGAGACGTGTTGGATTAATTATCAGAGTTTATAAACAACACGCAGACGTCTACGATATATCAATTTAATTATAAATCCAACATCAAAAAGGCTGAAAACGACCCTCCTAATTTAACCTCTCTTCTATCTTCTACTAAACCAGACTGAAAAAACAAAAACACATTCATCATAATATTTACACAGTTGTTCAGCTAGCTTCATGTTGCTACCTGGCTGCTAGCTGTTTGTTTACCAGGACACGGTGGCTATGTATTTCCGAGGGCGTTAAACGCTAGCTATGATTCATTTTATGATCAGTTTATCTGTTTTCAATGGGTGGATTCATTTTAAAAATACACCTCAGCAACAAGCTAACCACCGACACAAGGATAAATTTCATTATTGATTATCTATTAACTAGTTTCGCAAGATATCGGTTATTATTTAATCCATAAAATGTCGAAACAACAAGTCTGAGGAGGCTTCACTGAGATTCACTTCACTGAGACAGAAAAGCTGACTGATGAATGACGTTAATGATTATTTCAAATATTGTTGATTAATTTATTGATCAATGAATCGTTTCAGCGATGACAGAGAGAGGAGGGAAGAACAAGACAGAAAACAGAAATGTTCAATAACAGCAGCACTGTGTGTGCACGCCACATGTTTACCCGTTTTCATCAGGAGAAATTTACTAATGGATGTTACTTACCTGAACACACACACACACACACACACACACACACACTCAGACATACATTATAGATCTTCCCTCCAGCTAATGGGCCAAAACAGGGAATAGCTTGTGTGTATATTGTGTGTCTGTGTGTGTATAATGTGTGTACGTGTGTGTGTGTTCAGGTCTGGCTGCCTGCTAGCGGGCTGCCCTCAGGGCTAATCCATTATACATACTGAGTACACACACACACACACACACGCACACACAGAGTGTTTTCACCCTCCATTTGCAGAAAGTTAGTGGTGAGGAGTTCTTCAGTGTTTCTGTCCGTCTGACTGTCCAATGACGACGTTTCCAAACTGGTTTGTTTGGAGAACCGGTTTGTCTCCGTGCAGGGTTATCAATCACACACCATCTGATCATGTAGACCAACCGGCCGCTCCCTGAAGACACAATAAACACCTTCAGAAGGTGGAGTTGCAGTTTGTATACCAGATGAATGTGGTGTGTGTGTGGGTAAACAAGATAAATGATTGATCAGGTGATCGGTGTTTTCCAGATAAGGTAGCGCTGCATAGACTGTAAACTCTCCAAGTCAGAAAGGAAGCAGGTAAACCCTTCGATGAGGGTCCAGGCTTGAAGAAGAGGTTCTGCAGAGGACGTTACAGGAGAAGCTCCGTCATCTCGGTGACCTCTGACCAGGACAGTGGACTGGTTTGGTCCAAAGTTAACACCGGTTCATATCTCGGTAGTCCATCTTTAAAGCCTCATGCTTCAGCACGTATCGTTGCACGCCTGCTGTTCTATACCTGCCAGTATGAGACCGTCCTCCAGCTACCAAAAGGTCCAAATCACAGACTGTGTAAAAGAAGCTGACGTAGCCGCCGTGGTGTCCCACGTTGGATTATATGGATTACCTCTGGTTTGGTATTTTGGCCGTCGCCATCTTTGTTTTTGGTGCCAGACGTGACCACATTTGGACGAGAGGGTGGAGCTAGCTAGCTTGGTTAGCAAGGTGCATCTGTAATTCACATTAACTGTGATATTAGCTGGAATGCTAATTTTGGCTAGCGACAAACATGCTTAAAACAAAACAGAAAAATGAGCAGCCAACTCCTGATAAGCTTTTGCAGCGGCGCTGGTTAAATTTACACGGAGCAGCAGATCCGAGTCACCTCTATCCTGATTAACAGGTCGCCATGGTAGAGACCTGTCAATGACAAGTTAGCCCCGCCTTAAAGCATTTGAATGAGTGGACTTGTTGCATCTTCGTATCAAAGAAACTTTACGTTTGTCTGAAATATTTTTATCTGGATCTGGTGGATGTGTACTTTACTTTTGGCTCCAGACTAACTTTTCCACTGGGAGCACTGGTGCAGCTTTCTCAGTTGGTCGCACCCTTTTTTTTCGTTTTGGTACAAGTATTAGTCAGTGACCCTGATAACAAGTGGGAGGGGCATCGGCCCCTGCAAGTTCAATGTTTCAAGCTTAAACTGTGTTGACCCAGTGACATTGACCCACAACACTGAAGAAATGACCCTTTGCTCCAGTGTAAAGTAGTGAGTGTGTAAATCTGCTGTCCCCTCAAAATAACACATCACACAGCCATTAATGTCTAAACCGCTGGATACTAAAGTGAGGACACCCCTCAGTGAAAATGTCCACATTGGGCCCAATCAGCTGTTTTCCCTCCCCGGTGTCATGTTAATTGTTAGTGTTACCAGTTCTCAGGTGTGAACAGGGAGCAGGTGTGTTAATTTTGGTGTTATCGCTCTCACACTCCCTCATACTGCTCACTGGAAGTTCAACATGGCACCTCATGGCAAAGAACTCTCTGAGGATCTGAAACAAAGAACGGTTGCTCTACATAAGATCTACACTGTCTCTCTCTCTCTCTCTCTCTCTCTCTCTCTCTCTCTCTCTCACCCCAACCGGTCGAGGCAGATGGTCGCCCACCCTGAGTCATGGTTCTGCTCGAGGTTTCTGCCTCTTAAAAGGAAGTTTTTCCTTGCCTCTGTCTCCTAGTGCTGCTCTTGGTGGGAACTGTTGGGCTTCTGTAAATATCATCACAGAGTTCGGTCTAGACCTGCTCTTTTATGAAAAGCGCTGTGAGATAACTGTTGTTGTGATTTGGCGCTATATAATAAAATTGAATTGAATTGAATTGAATTGAACTCCAGGCCCATGAGGGTTAAGGCAGTGCTGAGAATAATGGTGGCCCCACAGAATATTGAGTCTTTGATCCCTTTTCTCTTAGGGGTGTCCTCACTTTAGTTGCCAGCGGTTTAGACATTAATGGCTGCGTGATGTGTTATTTTGAGGGGACAGCAGATTTACACTGTTTATACAAGATAGAGCTTCCATTCCATATTTATATTTCTGCATTTATTTATGTTGACTGTATGTTTTTCTGCGTGTAGAACCTTATCACCACAGCAAATTCCTCCTATGTGTAAAACACGGCTCGATCCATAACCTGGAGGAGGAACTAGGAGAAATTAGTTTGTTAGTATAATATTACAATATTAAATAAAAATATGTTAATATATACTGTTAGTAAAAAGTTACTATATTGATTATATTTTATATATTAGTATACTATATAGTTCACTATTACTCTGTCATCCAGACAGTTTTTATTCATTAAATCCTTGTCTAGTGAAATGTTCTACATGCTGGTCGGGTTAGTCTCTAATACGTTAATGCTAAGTGATAACGAGTTCAACATTCAAAAGTTTTCTGTAGCATGTCAAACATTTTTAATGACCCACCCCATCTAGGCTGTGATTGGTTGGTTGTTGAAAAGTGACCTTGTGTTTAAACAAAAGGCAGCTGATAGAGCTAAACATCCAGCTAGCCAAACATAAACCTTCCTTATCTTCTCCCTGTTGTCTTCTGTGTCACCGCCTCAGCTGCCCAGGCGTCCGGCCGCCAGTCACACTGTAATAATTAGAGGCGGGGCGGATTACGCACAGTGTGCTTGCATTTTAGGGGCATTTGCGAGTGAAATGGTCGCACCGCTAATGATCACCTCACACTCGCTCAAACGCGACCGCATGAAACTTTAACTTGCACACTCTTACAAATGGTTGCAGTCTGGACCCCTGGGTTCTTTTCAAGAAATGTCTTAGAAGTTATTATCTTTATGTCAAACACACCGTTCCTCCTGTTGAACTAACGCACATGAGGAACTCATCAGATGAATAAAAGTCTGACCGGAGCAGAGATCGGGCTGATGCTACTGGTGATACTGGAAATTAAATGTGTTTGAATTTTGATCCTATTGAAAATCTGTTCTTTTGTTCTACCTTTGGTTTGTTTTCTCTAATCTATCTACACATGTAACTGATGTTTGACTATTTAAAGAGATTCCATGAACGCTGAATGTTTCATTAATGTTAAATAACATCTGCTGTGTGGTTGTTTCGTGGAGTCGCGAGCAGCTCAGAGGGCTCGTTCTTTAGTTTTTTAATGACTTTTCACTCTGATCATTTCAATAAATCATGTGCACAGCATTTATTAGTATCTCTGGAAGAGGATCTGGGCCACATGAAAAGACTCTCTGGTGTTATTCTGAGGATTTTCAGTGTAAAGTCTGGATTTTCAAAACAAAATGTGAAAAGAAATTTGGACCAGAAAGTTAGAATTTAGAAACCAAAGATGTTTTCTTGTGGTTTTAATCCTTCTTTAAACCAGACTCCTGTCTTTTATTGATTACTGATGTAAAGTGCTGCAGTAGTGAGCTGATTGTTATCTCCCTCCATGCTTCTCCTTTACTAATTAATCTG